CAGGATATATAGGGCCTATATATATTTATATATTACACCGTAACTCGATAACAGGAAGCATCTAATAGTATTAGCATCCAATACGAATTAGTCATAACGATCATGTTTATAAACTTCCAGGAAACTTACAAGTTTACAGTAGGATTTTAATAAGAGTATTGCCTACTACCGTTGTAAACATTATTGTTGATACACAGGTCACATTTGTTAAAGTGTCAACAACTAATTGCTTGTTTCCGAGGGTTTTTTTGGAAAATGTTAAGTGTCCTCTGCCATCCGGGTTGAAATTTGTAGCCCTACACCGTGCTTACATGTGCATTGAAGTTGTGCCATGCGCTAATCCGCAACTAAGTAGAGCCAGACACGAATATCCAAATATATAACGTTTAAGGCGTAATTGAAAAAACAGCAAAAAACGTAATACCAAAATTTACACTTCGTTCATGAACCTTGAACCCAACAGGTGCTTCATTGGTTTTTTGGCACTCGTTATTTAGCCAGACAAAAATAATTATTCGGCGAAGTGTTATAGTGGCAATTGTATGACCCCCTCAAGTCCCCGCTGTTGAACATTTTTGTCTCCGACTGTCGCGTTTGATGATCGTGTGGAGAATATAATCAAAAACACTGCTAGCCTTGGTTAGACGCCGTGTAAGAAGAGAGTAAATCGCTAAAAGGGTTATCTGTTGTAGCTACTGAAGGAGATGATGCAGGTAGAGATGAAGTCGATAATTTGTGTGTCTATCCTTATCTTTTGTGGGCTTGTTTCAGCGAAGAAGCCATTGGTATCAAAGGTAGGACCTGAGTAAATGAAAATACAAAAACAAAATTTCATCATTTGGATGTGTTTTAATCAAGTGAATGGGTTTCTACCGGAATAAACATACCGGCATTTTTTCCCATAGAGTATTAGAATTGGACGGAGTGTAAATTGTAAAAACTGGTGGATCTCTGGTCGCAGGCATAATGCCATTATATCCTGATTTTGTGTATATTGGAAGCATACCGTAAATACTCCTTTTTTATAGTGTGTAAAACAGTAGCTTATAATCTGTGCCCCGTGGCATGGAATTTGTATAAGTACTATATGATATATCACTGTCATTACGTGATTGGTTCCTTTAACCATGCTTGAACCAAAGAGTTAACTCATCTTTGAACACTCTCTTATTGTCTTAAAAGCCTAAAGCCTAAGAGCCTTAACATTCTTATCTGTCAGTATGGATAATAGGCCTAAGTTTATGCATCTTATAATTTGAGTTATGGATTCACCTTCCTACCTTTAACTTCTTCAAAATATTGTATGATCAGGGTAAGATGAAGCAATTTAACAATTTACCGCAATCTAGGCTTGCATCATTATAATCATCACTATTTATGGTCATCATCGCCGTCACTTATATCATCATCGTCATCATCGTCGTCATCATCATCATCATCATCATCATCATCATCGTCATCATTATCATCGTCATCATTGTCGTCGTCGTCGTCATCATCATTATCGCTATCATCATCTTCATCATCATCATCAGTATCATCACCATCATCAGCAGCAGCATTATCACTATTAATATTAATGTTATCACCTCCCATGGAGGTTATGTATTCACCATTGTCTGTCTCTGATTCTTTATTTGTCAGTAAGATTATTCACTAACGATCGAATGGATCTTCATAACGAATTTAGTAGACACACTGTTTTTAGTTGTCATTATATTTGTTATTACAGTACGTTGAAGATTGTTGTTGTTCCATTGAATGCGATAGTGAAAAGGCATGTGGTCTAGAGGGCGCTATTTTTATTCATTATTCTCCTCCTGTAAATAACCAGACTTATGAGTATTAATTAATATTAACATAGGCCTGTTTATTTATTCATTTAATTTAACAAAACATATTAAAAAGATCTTATTTTAATTGCCGTATACTTCGGATCGGACGTTTAATGCCGGGAGATGTAAAAATATGTTAACATCTCCCTGTTTAATCATTGTTCGAGAATACACGAATCCACTATACAGCAACAAAATTATTTAAAGAGTCGGCCCCTATGTCGGATGCATGTGTACCAACCATCCTGAATTTATAGGTGTTCACCTTGCTTTTTGCTACTGTCTATGTTTGAGTGCGTTTTGTTGTGTTTGTTAAAAATAAAAATAATTCCCGCTTACACGTCAGTCGCCTCATGGCCAATGTGATGGAATTCGCAAACCCCTGGCTAGCTCCCAGTCCATACACCACTACATTAAAGGTTTAATAATAAGCATTGTCACATTCCTTGGCATCGTTTTCTACATCACTACATTAAATCATTCACGATTTTGACCCCGAAAGGCCACAAACGTCACATGCCTTTACTTAAGACATCAATCGTTGCTATAATTAAATTGTGTCTTGGATTAAATTTGCAAACTGGAAGAATTCTGTATTGTTGTATTCGTATTCCTCATTAAATCCAGGTATATCGTAGTAGTGGTGATGTTTTTTGTGCTTGGGTGCGACATTTAATGTCTATGGAACTTCCAGATGGAAATGCCACTCTCAGACTTTGACTGCAATTTTCCCCTATTTAATTTTTTTTTTTTTATGGACAGTATGGTTTGGGCGAGCCGACTGGGCCCCCTTGATTCATTGCCTATGATGATGCATATGGGAAAATCTGTAGAGGTTTAGACTTCACGTTTGGCTACTGTAACAGAACGTATTTAAAAGTTCATTACACTATTTCAGATTTGCAACACGTGGGTGAAAATCTAACTCACAGTTTCCTGCTAAAGTATGCACTTGAGGAAAAGCGAGTTTTCTAAAGTAAGGCACTGTACTAATATCATGCATTAGTATGTTGAGCTAATTACTTCTACAGCATTGAAAACAGGACACATTACTTAATTTATAAATACTGTACGTATTTTCTTTGAAAAGTATTTAGTTCATATATCAGTGGACACTTGCATCTTATTTTTTTATATCCATGGTTTTGCCCATACTTGAATATTGTTGTTTTATATGGGACCCTGATCATAAGATTACTTATACCCGTAAACTGGAAAGTATTCATTAAGCTGCCACTAGCATTGCCTTTGTTCGGGGGTGGGGGTGGGGAGGTATAAAAAAGGACCAAACTACATCGATCGGCTAAATAATATGTAGGCCTAACATCTTTATCTTCTGGCTGTTAAGAGAAAAGTTTCCAGAGTCTTGTTTGATTCTAGGGGGAAGGGGGGAACAACTCTTTTTCAAAATTCTGCTTTGTTGAAGCAGCTAGGCTCTGGAACTCTCTTCCCGAGAGTATGAAGAGTTTATATGATGATGAAAAATGTAAAAAAAACATATAACAGCACATTTTAACGACTTAAACGATACTATTTTTTTTCTTTTTTACAGTCATTTTTAATGTCTATAAATTTTAACCACGGTTGTACTCGTTTTATATAATTGTATATTGTAGTAAAGAGTTTCCCACATTTGTGTTTGGCGTTTCCTCTTGGACGGTTATCTGTCGAATTTGTAATAAATAAATAAATATAAAATCTTAATGGACAATATCAATAAAATATAGGATTGACATTTGTTCAATATCCGACCAACATATTTGCTTTAATCGAATCGTCATTGTTTGTATTGCTGTAAATTGTGTCAAATAAAAAAATAAATAAATAAATAAATAAAAAAAATAAAAAATAATAATAATAATAATAATAATAATAAAAGTTAATTAAAAAGGTAGGCCTACGTGTTACTGTAAGCTATTACAGCATATGCAATAGAAACTACGATCATTCTTCAGTTGTTTGTACCAAGGCCATTTAAAGTCCTGTTAATGATTATTCCCAGTAGGGTACGATTTAAACTCACGGTTTGACAAGGAGGTTTGGAATGAAATATGATATGAATAACAGCGAAAGTTTTGACAGTGCTAAGACGCTGAACCGATGTGGTAAAACAATACAAAGCTGTCGTGTTAACCTTAAATTCTGTTGTTTGTTTTTCTTCCATGCTGTTGTTTGTTTTTCTTCCATGCTTTTCTTAAATATACTGTACTGTAGTACCTACTGTATTATTTCTCAGTCTACTACTAATACGTCATTGTTTCAGATTCCAAAGCGTTCCTTGCGCTAAGGTCAGGTGACACCAATGACAGTACCAACCCCCCCACTGCATCCTGGGGGGGGGTGGGTGGTGGGTGCGGGTGTGTCTGTGTGTACATACTCCATACATGCCAACACTCCTGATTTGATCACGAGACTCCTGATTTTGAGACTTGTCTCCTGATTGAAAATCGTTCTCCCGATTTTCTCAGCTTCTCCAGACTTAAGAATAAATTTAATCACTATATTATACGGATGGTCGAATTTAGCCTAATTCAGATTTTACAAATTAATAATTAGTTACATATCCAAATCAATAATTTTGGCTCTCTAAACTCGGAAAGAACCCCGGACCCCACCTCACGAGAGGGGGACACCTCTCGCCCTCTTCCAAAACCAATCCCCGCCCGGCCTCTGGGAGCCCTCAAGTTGTAAGACGGGAGAGAGACTTAGTACAGTAGTGGTCGTAGATCCCTAAAGAATATCACGCGGGCCTCTGGGGTCAGTATGGCACTCACCGAGATATTAAAACATTGTGGGTTCGTCCTCTTTAGGAGACGCTAACCGAAATTGTTTTTTTCCCCCGTATTTATGTGTTTTGGCTCGCAGTCACAAAACAATGACATGCGTTTTCATAATTTTAATTTATTTGACCTAAGAACGATTCAGATTGTATCAATAATTATCAATGCAAGTATAATCAATTTATGATACAAAATCAGTAGATGGCTATAGTATCCATACATTATTAAAAATTTTTTTGCTTTCGTTTTTTTTTTCTTTCAAAAATTAGCTTTCTCTTGCATGAATAGAATACTGTAATGATTTAGAAATTATAGTGCATATCATGAATTGGAATCCTATAAACGTAAACAGGGGAACAGTAAACGTAATCCAATGGCCAAACGTTGACAACGTTGGTTCACATTTGTAATAGCATTTAAAAAAATGATGCCCACTTATGTGGGTCGAATAGGCATATTATGTGTTAAATTAAACCATTTGGTACACTAAGAAAATGTCCCCTTAATATAAGGGGACATAACTTCCCTTTTCACTGAAAAGTGTCCTTTAATAAGGTTGTCCCAAATGAAAATATAACATAATAGAAATGTCTCCTGACGATGGTTGCTGTATATGCTTGTGTTTCGCAATGATTACTGTAAATCTGTGCATCATTGTTTTAGTAAATTCTATAAATAGATTATAAGTGTTAAAAGTAATTAATTTTTACGGAATTAAAGCCTTTATAGAAAAAGTCCGGTTTACAATATTTAGAATTTGAGAAAACATTTTCATCTTTATATTTTCATTCTCAACTTTCAATCTATATTTCACTTGTAGTTTATAACAATTTAGTGGTTTTGTTTCTGCATTATAATAAAGTGATAGAAGTGGCGTACACAAAGAAATGCTAGGCATGTACTGTAGGTAGGCCTAGTAATGTACCGCAAAACCTCGAATAGAAGCCAAATGGTTTTAACCTCGAGAAGAAGTCCATCTCGAATTGAAGCCCCTCTTTAGTTCGCAAAAGCTGTAGCCTCGAAAAGAACCCCATGGGCTTCTTTTCAAGATAGCATGGGTTTTTTTTCCCCCGAGATAGTACAGTACAACGATGTACGTGAACTTCAAAGAAACAAAATAAATTTAAAACATGCTTGGTTTACAGTAGTTTAGGTGATTTAATGCCGGTTAATATGATGCAGATTGATATTACAGTGGCCCTATTTGTTGTTTTATAATAGTAATTACCAAAATTTACAGCATTCATTTTGAAAAGAATCCCCCTCTTAACTTTACAAAATCGAAAAAGAAGCCCATCTCGAAAAGTAGCCCATCCAAAGCCCAGGGCTTCAATTCTAGTTTTCATGGTAGGTCTAGTCTATAAACTGTTCCTCGATTAATATTATAAACAAATTCAAGGAAATGTTTTTTTTAACTAATTCATATTCTTCATGCATTTTCATTTTATTACATTATTCTTTCTCTAGTATAGCCTAATAATACTACTGTAACTAACTCATAAGCCCTTGATTAATGCTGTGATGTTTGTAGGTTTTAACATATTTTTTGTCATAATAATAATGTACACATTTCCGTTTCCTTTAGTTGGACCAATCGTTGCGATATCGAAGGAACGTAGACGTATCCAACAAGTACACCCAACTGACTATAAACACGCTGAGAGTTCATTTGAACAACGAAGATCTGTACTGTGAGTAAGCCTCCTAATAATGTAAACTAGTTTTATAGACTATATTATGATTTAAATTTGTCAACACATAGAATCGGATGTGTATAGATACAATGTCTTTAATTTCATTTCATATTATGTAAATCCACTTTCTCCAGTTGGTTTCTTTTCATACCATCAACCTCAACACCCACGTTGGGAAAGCTCGTCAGGATATAAACAAAATATGTTTTCATCTAATGTCCTAGGCAGAATTGTGACGGCGCAAGAACGTTGACAAGTCATTCGGACAGTTAGTCTTCAATTTTTCGACGGATTTTTCTTAATGTGTGTTGTTATATTGCTTAAGGGCCTATGTGTATTTTTTATACTAGGCTTATAAATTACTTAGAAAATATGAAACAACGCACAAATGAAAAAAAATATAACAAATCGGATGGGAAAAAGTGTAGCGCCCTATATTCTACAAGGCTCAGTCACCCCTCCCTCACCACTGTCAAAGTATCCAATTGCTGGATCAGCAATCTACACGTCCGTATCTAAAGGGTGTGTGTGGGCTATGCTCTCCCGCTTCATAAAAAAGCCTCGTAATTTTAAGCAGTACAGAGGAAAATGATTATTACAACACAAATCCAATGGCATTTTTACGGAGCATTATGATTTTTAAAATCGACACAATAACGATCACATACTGATCTATTTATACTTATATTGTTTTAGTTTGTGGTGGCGACCCGTACGCCGGCGTCCAGTGCCCTGAAGAAATTATGTGCGTTGATTGGCAGCAACTTTGTGATGGCGAACAGACGTGTGGGGTACCGTATAAGAACCAATGTGTTAATCGTACCATTGCAAGTTATGGTACAAACGATAAGCGCATGTGTGACGGCGATGAGAATGAACGTTGGTGTGTCTGGAAGGAAATGGCCCCTCAAAGTAAGGCAACTGCTCAAAATAGGCTTACAGTACATTGTTTTTGCTTATGATCGACTATGAAATACACTCTTATGTTTTCGTCTGCATAATCAGCAATTTTAAACGGAATGCCCATTAATAACATCCAGCCCCACAATGTAATTCTTCTTTTTTTAAGACAGAAAAGATTACAAACATATTGTCTTTTCGAATTATGTGGCTTCTTATTATATCGCATCATGTTATACTTGTTTAAAATTGAAACCTGAAGAGGATGAGTTAGGGAAGATAATTGCTCGACACATAGATCTATTTTTTTATATATTGTATATAACTTTATCCCTACTAGGGTGTGGAAAAGATTATTTTATCGGCGGAGATAAAAAATCGAAGCGCCGGAGACTTCGTTCAATGAATTTCCCTAAAAACTATGACAACGATCGCTTTTGTTTTTGGAGGATTCGAGTTCCAGAGGGCGACAGAATTAGTATCTATTTCCGCCAGTTTAACACGGAGCTAAACTATGACTACGTAAGCGTAGGAAACGGTGAGAAATACGATAATGACCGGGAAACAGTTATTTATAAACACAGCGGTGAGAAATTACCGAAACCGAAAGCTTTTACCAGTACAGGTGTGTTACATTGTTATTGTTTGTAGGGGCGTGTTGGGTTCGAATCCAACTGTATAAAACTTGTTAATATTGACAGTATATTTATTAAATATTATATTAATTATTCTTATAGCATATAAAATAGTGAGTAGGCATATAT